GGTTGATGATGTTTTGAATTCCACGGAGAAAGCAGCAGAAACCACTGCAATCAATGGGGTTTGTGCTTAATAGTTCACTGTGTGATACAAACAGCAATATCGGGTGTTCTTGATCACTTTCCACAACACTAGTTTATTTGCTGAAACCAAAAGGAACTGGGCAAAGACTGGTTCTCTGCTGCTACCAGCGACCATCACCTAAACGAGACATCATTTCTGTCAGTAAGGTAGCTTGCTAAGATCATCCACAGAAGTGATGTTCTCTCTTAACTTCAACTGTTTTCATTGGAACCACGAAGCTAAATTTCATGATTTGAAAGTTTCCCCAAATTCCTTCACACTCTTGAGATAGTCTCAGCATCCTGATAATGATCACTCCGTAACCACTGAAGTAATTAACATCACGGTAGGCTTTCCTATGACTCAGGGGTTCCACATTGCAAGATTTAGACAGTTAAGTGAACACTGCTAAAAGGCTGAGAATTCTGTTGCATAGTTCAGTGTTTCAGAAAACACTTTCAAGCTTAAAAATTAGAAAGAGTAGAATTATATAATAAGCTATTCCTTGCACATGGACTGAAAAGGCAGAGATTCCTTCCAACTTACTTTCTCTGACAAACCTACGGCACACCACACAACTTTTCCACTGTCAAGTTGCACACACCATTACACCTCTTTCTCCTGGAGAGAGGATGAGAACAAATGATGTGATAGATCTTAACAGTGCTGATTAGTACACATAGCAGGCACTAAGATATCAGGACGACCAAAAAAATAATTTGTATTAAAAAAAAAAAAAAAGATATCATGAGCAATCAGTGATGAACCGAGATCATGCAAGAGACACAAGCTGAGTAGGATACCAACTGTAAAGATTGGCTCCTAAAAGCACATGTTGTAAAGCAGGCCATTATCTTTTTCAGCCATCTCTTAGATTTAATAGATTTCCATCTTGATAAGGTTAAGACTTGCTTAATAATTGTCTGATTAAAACGTAATAAACCTGGGAAAATTAAAATAAAGCCTTTTTAATAACCTGGAGATGAGATGGGACTTTTCAGCCAGGCTTCCACAAAATAATTTCTGTAGCATTCACCTCAGGATCCCAAAGCACTTCACAGTCATTTAATTAAGCTTCAACAGAGCACAAACTCCCCATTTTAAAGCTGAGGTACAATGACAGGGAGTTTGGAAAAGAATATTCAATACTGAGCAGAGCTAAATGTTCTGTTATTTTATCCCGAGACCAGATTCCAAACACCTATAGGTAGGTTCCTTTTTCCCCCTCACCACTTTGGCAGCCTCTAAAATAATAGTAAAATTCAAACATCCGATGCACAATCAAAAGAACAGCCCTCATCATCTCCAAGCTCATCATGTTTCAAGCTGCTCAGATTTGGAGTATAAACACTGCTGCCCATCTATCTCACAAAGCTTCTCCTACCCATTCCCATTCCTCTAGCCATCCCTATGCCTCTTATCCCCAGTCGACCAATTCAAGCTTCCCTTCTTCTAGATCAAAACTTAGATAAGGCAAATCATTAAACAGTTTGACATTCTCGCCTTTAATCCACAACAGGTCAATGACTGAGTGATTTCCAAAGCAACTACTACTCAGCAAAGGATTTGCATTTCTACTGAACACAGGCAGGTAGTTTGTCTAAAGCCAGCCTAAGATCCTAAACTATTACCAAGTTATTTGTAGAAAAGAGGGAATGGAGCAAGTAGGAAGCAGACTCTGACATATTAAAATGGAAGTGATTAAAATACTGCACTGATTGCATACTGCAAGCAACACTGGATGCTGAATAGCATTTGGTGAGTATACTCATGGGTTATAATAACTTGTGGAGGGCAAGAGAGACAGACTCTATAGAAAAACACTAATTCGCTCTTAATCTAGCCCATTATTTCTAGATTTGAGTAGGCAGCTTTCCTTCAGGAGGTAAAATGATGGGAGTCGAATTATGCCATCCCACTGTCACCGACAGACCACTTTGTGGATGGCAAAAGATAAGGAATGAGCATAGAAAATGCTATTTAAAGCTCTACTCAGGAACCTAGAAATTTGCATTTGATAGAAGGGATTTAAATTGTATTAGAAGGCAAGGTGCACTAAACAATTACAGTTTATTACTATGTTGGTTCACTGCCTGAACCTATACTTATCACATACTGCAGCAGCAAACGAGCAGCAGTGCTCCGTGCTCTTGAGCTGTATGCATATTAATAGGAGGGTTAGCTGAGCAAACAGGGAAGGGGCCAAGTGCTTGTGAAAACAAAGTGGCATGCAGATTTTATGGACCGATCGGAGTAATTTGGGTCTTAAGTCACATTTCAGAGAAAAGTTTTCCATTAACCAAACAGGATTTCCAGCACAGTGCCTGGAAGAGAACACTCTTTGCTGCATCACAGCATATAAGCTGTGGAATGACACTGACCCAAGAGGGAAACACACATCCTGCAGCAGCTGATTCCAAAAGACATGATACACACCATCTCCCCTCGCAGCTGGAGCGGGGCCAAAGACACTCACAGTCTATCTGCTTCATTTGTTGTTATGCTGCAAATGAAGGCTACAGTGAAAATATTCATATTGGCCAAAATTCAATATGACACTTTTTTTTTTCTCCCATCCAGTTTTCAACTTTGATGAAAAATTTCTCATCTTTGATGAAAACTGAAGGTTGCCATATTACCATATGCTTCCTTTCTTTAGTTAGGGGAATTAAACAGACAAACCCCAGCCATTCCTCTGGACCCCTCAAAAACATGGTCCTGTTTTTCCACAGTGGCCTCCAACCTTCCTCAACCCCTCCTTGTGTCTTGAATTCATGGCAGCTTGTGTCCTTACTCATCCATACAAAAAACCCAAAGCCTCAGCATTCAAGCCTTCTCACACATTGAACAAACGGGGACTAAAATCTGCTGCATTGCTGGGGAGGGAAAAATTGAATAGTACTTAGATGTCACAGAAGCAGATTAGGCCAAAGTGGAGCAGCCAATCTTCAGCAGACTGTAATTTTTACTAAGCTAAGACACTGGGGAGGGAAAATAGGGAATATTGAATGAAAACTGTAGGATACCATGAGAAGACTAAATCTTATGCCTTAAACACATACAGGAAACCACAGCAACCTTCAGATTTCAGTAGAGTCATTTTAAACCAAAAGCTCGGAAAGTATCTCTCAGAATGTGCCCTGCCTATTTAGGATCCACTTGAATACACCTACTTTCCTGAACAGCAAGGAGAAAGAAACTACTCCTTTAATATGGGGTCACAGCAACAGACATTATAATGCATGAATACCAGGCACCGGTAGCACAATACTCCATGGTGACCAAGCCTTCAGTTGCACAGCTTGGGTAAGTTTTATTTTTCACTTCTGCAAAAAAAGTGTACTACTACTTCATAGAGTGACTCAACGCTTATCCATAGCATAACACTGTGCAACTAATGCCCTTTGAAAGCACTAATGTGCTAAATGGCATCAGGGACAGGAAGTTATCAGTGTTAATCCACTTCAACTGGTTTAACAGTTACAAAGAATGGAAATGTCTATATGCAAGACACTTCCTCTGAGAGTCCCCTTTCCTGAAACACAAGCACACAGCCTTTCAACATGCTTTCCCACTAGCATAATTGCTCACCAACTGCTTTCTCAAATCAATTACGTTGTCTCAGCATTAAAGGGTAGAAGGCAGAGTAGACCAACTTTTTGTTTATCTAGGCATGCTGGCAGGTTACAGTCATATGTTCTGCCATCTGTACTGCTAGCTTTATCCTTTATCCAATCATAACAGGTAAAATGGCATTGGTGTAACTGAATCTGTTCGCTCAGTCAGGGAAGGAGACAGAACAGGCATTTGTTTCCCCCACCCCCGCATTCTGAAAGGAAGCAGGAGATGGACACTCTTGCCCTTTTAAAACATTTTGCTTTTCAATAGATGGGCAATTTGCCCCGGTCTGCTAATGTGGGATCTGTTCAATGCAAGGCTGAAAAGGTTCCATCCCTGGGGGAAGCATCGAACTGCCGATGAACATTTGGTGGCCTTTAGCAAAAGCGATGCAATTTCTGCCAACAGGGTCCCAGCAGACTGGGAAGGACAGGCTCCAAATTAGGTGGGATTGTGATGTAGGAATTTCAGGAGGCCTGTACAGGATATTCGAGGAGCTTGCTGACTACCTCCACTCTTTACCCCTCCATGCTCCTTTCTTATTCATATTTTCTAAAATTACAAGCATACTGGCAAATGTCATGGCTTCATTCATGAGAACCTGGAAACTTTCAAATGCACAAGGTGTGTGAAGATGACCTTTATTCTGATACAAAGGCTGCTGAGCTGGGTGGGTTTCTTTTAAAATTTGACAGTATTAGAAAATTTGTGACTAGAAGTGCTTCAAACCACTTTGAAAGCATGTCTATAGGTCAGTATCAGAGTTTCTGCCCTTCTCAAAAATAAACAATCCAAAGGCAATTTTCTAGAAAACAATTCCCTTTGTCCCAAATGGGATGCTTTTAAATCAACACTCGCATTCACTTTATTCTTTAGACTCCCTCTCTGAACACTAGAGCATGTTGCTTCTTCAGCCAATTCTGTTTATGATACTAAATAGCTTTAATTATTTAATAAGAATTGCCTGAGTGATGTCACAGGACTGCCCAGCAGACCTTTTAGTCTTCAAATGACTATCTTTTCGTAGTCTCAAAGGAACACCACCATCTTTCTTAACTGTAGAGGAGCTTAGATGCTGTTTTTTGGTTTTTTTTTTTTTTTCGGGGGGGGGGGGATGCGGTTAGTGGGTGGTGGTGAGGTGGAGTGGAGGAGGAGGGTGTCAATAGTTCCCTTTTGGCAACCCAGGCCAAACGCCCATTTCTCCAAAACCCTCCCCAACCGTAATTTCACCTTAAAAATAGAGTACAAATATTTGTTACACAAAAATAGGTTTCATTACAAATATGAACACTGTGTACTGTGCATTTCCAGGTGAATTGCTATCAGGAGTGTGTTTTTTGGTCTGAAACAGTGCCAGAAGCTTTTCGGTACATGTTTCTGTATATTTTCTCAAGGCTTTCTTCAAAGATTGCTCTGTGAGGCTTCCCTTTGTATACAGCTGCATGACTAGACCAATATTCACCATTATCCAAGTGAACAATAGTGGTCTGCACTGGTGAACTGTCAACAGAAAGAAGATAAGAAATAATGATCAAATCAAGATAAGGACAAGAAATTAAATGCATGAAACCAGCAGAAATCCAAACGTAGAGCTGCTAAACAGAGATTACCTTTCACAAATTGAAACAAAAACTGCGCTGCAGATACCTCTAAGAAATGGGAGCCCCACGTCACGTTATTCATTCACACAAATTCTTCCCCACTTACCTGACTGCACTTGATAATACCTCCCAAATAGAAAGAGAAGTCATTTTCAAAGAGCATGCAGTAATTTTGCTGTATTTCGATAGGCAGTGTGACTAGGCACTAAGCCTATGCAAGAGCAACACAGTAGGATTTTTGTGTCCTTTGAAGGTTAAAATGTAACCACAAGCAGCTATTTCAATATGAAGACAATCTATCAGAGGTATATTAAATTACTGTGGTTGCAGCTGTAAAGTGCTCTATCGGAAGCATCTTGGATTGAGTATTCTACCAAATACATTATGATATAGTGCCAACAGCGTCCCTCCCCCACCCCATCTTCTGTGTCACTGTTTTAATACTAAACACAAATACAGTCTCATATTTTAGTTGCTTTGAGAAATTATTTCCTAGATCTATGAAGGGCAATTTATTATCTGAAAATCATTACAAACCACTGACAAATCTGAAGTCTGTATACCTAAACTTCATGATTGCTTGCCTTCTCTTGAAACTTTCAAAACAAAGGCTTGTGTCATACAATGAAATTTTAATTTTCCTTTAATAAAGCATAAAACAAGAAGCTCAAAAATCATAAGCAAAAAATGACAACTGAGGTGACATTTTTCACATCTGCTCAGAGATTTAGGCACTTAAGACACTTAAAAATTAAGACTGAATTATCTTCAGCCTATTGTGAATATTCTTAGTCTGGGAAATGAAAACGGAAACATGAAGCTTACAGTGACCACCTTCGCTTAGGAAATGGATTACATTTCACAGCAAAGCTTTACATTTTCTTAAATACATATAATTTATTAATTTACTATGGTCAAACCCGTACTTAAAACTTGTTCTCAAGTTAATATCAGCAAACACCCATGAAAGAATTGAAAGAAACCTTATGTCAAAGGACTCACAAACATACTTCTAGATAGCTGCATCAAAACACAAGGTTTTCACTTTAAGAAAGGAAAATGGTGAGGGAAGAAGAGGAAGATGTAGGATTAGTTGTCTAAATTCACATTTCTAAGCTTCCACTGTCCCACAGAAAACAAAAGAAGCAATAGCTTTTGCTTTTAGATTTCTTGCATTCAAATATTAGGGTGACGCCAACCTATATCACATAAAACAAGAAAAATAAGATCTCTGTGTGGCTCCAACACTAAAAAGGGAGGAGGGCCACTTTCACACTTTTTCAAAAAAGCTCCAACATTTAAAGTCAGTCAACAGCATGAAGCAAATTTAAACCTGTTTATCATCCTGGAGAGGGTGAACTGTGCTTCACAGTTTGGACACAAAGAAACCAACCTACCAAACAAAAATCAATAGAAGAGTTACACAGGCCTGTGTTAAACGTAGACAAGTCAATATCCTGGGGACCCAACAACTGAAGTTTCACCTCCTTCTTTCTGCAGTTCATGTTACCTCACTTCTGATGGAGAATTCTCAGGCCAACAAATAGCATGGCACTAGGAGTGGCAATTGTAAACTATACAACAAATAACTCTGACGCTGTTTTCCTTGGAATCCATTTCCTGCAGTCAGCCTTGTGCTTGCCTTTTCTTCTACTAAAAGCTTAATCTACATAAAGACACTCAAAATCCAATCACTTTAATTGCAGTAAAGACTCAAAAACCAACAATAACTTTCACAAGTTCCTTATCCTGGTACTGACAAACACTTAAAAAAAAAAAAAGAAGACATAAGCTTCATTCTCCCTTCCTTTTTTGGAGGGGTGGGTATATGTATTTCCATTAGCCAGTCCTTGCACATGAGATACTTAGCACTGGTATAGACAAAGATACAGCCAAGTTAGGGAAGAGTCCCTCTCCTGTCTAAACTGGAAACCAGATGACAACCTGAACTAAGCAATCTGGGAATTACACTCACAAATCATATTAACAGCAGGATTTCTGCACGCAACTCCCTGCTCCAAAATACCTGTCATATGCTTTTGTTCTCTCATACATCTCCTTTAAGAGTCCCAGAAGTTCTTTTCTGAGTGAACCATATACTAAATATTTCAGAAAACATGGACCTTTTCCTTACTCCCAGTGGTTTTCAATCATCTATCTGCTGCCAACATTCGGTCGACAGTACCATGTCCTTCTATGAACTCCGTCTCTGTCCTTGTATCCTGTTTATGAGCAGTGTGGCAAACACTCAGCAATCAGACTGTCCTCGAGTCCTTTTATGTCCTGCTTTTCAGTGAATGGGACTAGTGCTGCCGGCCTCTAAACCCAAGAAGCAGTCCTTTCCCAACCTGAGTGCCGCATTCCATATCCCATCACTTCACAATTCTGTACTGTTAGGGTTTGCTTTTTCTTTTTTCGTGGTCTTTTTCACAGTTTCAGCATCAATCTCAAAGTCCCAAAGCTGCCTCAAAACAAACACTTGCACTTTCTCTCTCACAAACACATCCTACACAATTTAATTGTGTAGCTGTCAGGATAGAGGATAAGGGAGCAAAAAGGCTATACGCAGAACACAGGAGTAAGCACAGATATAGAAATACTAACAACTTCAGTAGCAACTCCACACACATGTGAAAATCTGACTAACCAGATCCCTTGCAGAGAGGTGACTACAAATTACAGAAATGTTTAAAAAAGCCAACAAATCATAAATGAACTTTTTAGAGCTTAACAATTGCAAGTAGAAGTTCACCACAATACCCATACTGAACCACTCTCCTTTCAGTGGTATACAGTGGTGATTCGGGAAGCTTTTGTTACAAAATACTGCATCACATTTAATTATCAAAAGAAAACATTTTTTTCCCTAATGTCAAGACCTATCAAATTTAGCAACACAGTTCTAGGACTTATCTTTTAACATAAACAGAAAAGCGGTACAACCCAAAAAATGTTTTACATTACTTAGTATGTTTCCTCCAACAAGTACCCAAAAATGTTGTACAAAATACTGTGTGCATGCATAGAGAACATCAATATTGATAACTTCTACTACAGAAGTTGTCAAAATCAATTCAATTGATGTCTTTTAAGTAAAATATTGAAATGAAACCCTAGTCATATTATGTGAGGAGTACATAGAATAATTAACTTGCATAAACCAGGTTTTCAAGATGTCTTCTGAAATATGGCATGCTGAGTCACTAAACCATAGTACATATATTTGCTGTGTTTTTTTGAAGATGTTTCTCTTTTCCAAATATGTGTTTTGGAAAAAAAAAAAAAAATCCAAAACAACAAAACAGGCCCAAACCATATTACTAAATAAACTTCAATTTGTTTTTGCACTCCCATAGTTTTAAGAAAAAATAACCAATTGGTTATTTTTAAAGTGATGTTTGCTCTCTGGTTGATAAAATCCAAAAACTACTGCCCAATGATCATTTTTATGACCAAGTTCAGTTCCAAAATCAGTGTTTTATAAAAACTACACTGACAGAGTGGCAAACAGCATGAAAGGCATAATTATAGCTAACTGTATTTTGCTTTTAGGTGAAAAAGCTTGGTAGGACTAACTCCTACAGAAGCCTTTTCCCAGCGCAATATATTACAGAGCTCAAAATAGGAAGAGAAATTTTTAGCTAAATTTAAAGAGCAATATCATGAATATGACTGTTCTGTCTTAGTCAGAGAAAAACTCCACACCTGCTCTGCAGTTCACTCATTGACAAGGGCGCTTTATGCAAAGATTTTCTTGTCTTAGTCGAGTCTTCTTTTGATGAGTTACTCTCATCCTAAAAAAAAAAAACAAACAGAAATCAAATTCTCATTATCTCGGTTTCTGATTACAATGATCTCATTTCAAAAATACTTTCTTTCCATTAAAGTGCTCACATTTCTTGGGGGAGAAAGGGACAAAGTGTAATGAGCCAAATGCCAACTATGAACACTTTTAATTAAGTTCAGTACAATTCAGCTAATAATTTTCAGTTAATAAACTGAAAAAAATTTCTAGACAGTGTAGATCTAGGGAACTATGCAGACAGCACAAGCTTCAATAATGCCCAACAAACACGTTGGTAAAATGCTGTGAAATCTACTGCTCACTGATTTCTTTTGTTTCTTGTAGAAAAGGCAAAGAAGAACCTAAAACTTACTATTTATTAGCCTTTATAATGAGCTTTTGTTATCCATTTAATGCACTTTACCAGACAGAAGCATTCTATACATCTGAATACTTTGATTCCGCATATAAGGCTGACAACGTGCTTACCCAACTTAAAAAAAAAAAAAAAAAAAAAAAAAATCTATGATACACTTAATGACCCTTCAGTGGTATTCTTAGGAGTTGCTAGAAAGCAGTCTTACCTTCCAAACACTATGTAGACATTAATTAACTCACATCCGCCCTCTTAGGCAAGTAAGAAACAAAACTCCTCATGCGAAGGGAGCCCGTTGCTCACCTGAGAGCAGAAATTCCACCACACCCAACCACATTCACTCTACTCTGAAGAGCAAAACCACTACTTAAGAGGTGATACAAAACGATGCTTTCAGCAGAGGCCAATTGCTGTAAGGATTAGTTAACAAAATCATCTTTCATGCTATAGAAGAAATAACCAGGGAAAAAAAAGACTGCAGTAAAAATAATCACACTTGCTGGTAATACAAAACTGGGAGAAAAGACAATAAATACAGTGGTAGATGGCAATAAGATGCAGAGCAAGCTGAATGGCAAGCTGAAACCTAACACAATTTATTGTGGTGAAATACAAGGTAATAAGTGTGTTTGTAAACAGGAAAACTCTTCTTTCAGCAGTCATAGACTACAAAGCACTGAAGAGGAAATGGGGTACAGTGGTAAATAAAATCCTGCAGCATTCGCCTGAGGCAAATTATGTTCTGGAAAGCAAAAATAAAAGATGGAAATGTTATGATACTGTCAGAATGTCACAGCAGAAAGCTACAGTGGCCACCCTAAGGAATCTGCAGCAGAGCTCTAGTCACACTACTTTTACAGAGCACTACGGAAATCAAATTTTGGAAAACACAGCTGGATGCTTCTGGGAATGGTTATTCAGCATCAGGCTTTCTGGAAGGAAATAGATACATTCTTTAAACTTTCAAAGTTTGGAAGAGGATCCAGACTGGAGCCAAAAACCTACCCACCACATTGCCAGTGCACTTGCTTTACTATTGCCTCACTTTCAAGATGACTCATTTACCTCATCCATCCACTGCATAACAACACAGCCTAGATTTTGGGCCACCTAGGGAAGTACAACTAATCCTGGTGTATTTTACAGTACTCGCTACAAGTAGACCTGATTATTTTTTTTAAGCAGGTCAGCTGCTGTTAGCACAGCTTTCACAAGTTAGCTGTACACAATTAGCAAACACTGTGAGACTTCTCTGTAACACCATTTCATTGCTTTTGCTCACTGGAAGAAAATGGAGTGAGAAAAATGGTCCTTTTCCAGCATTCTCCTGATCAGGTTGGTAATTAAAGACTCAAAAATCTTACCCAATACCCTGATATCTGGAATTTTTTAGGGCAGAAACATGAGGTTTTCCAACAGGAGAGGAAACAGAAAAGCATCATCTCTGATTACTAATCCCTGTGAGTATTCAGCAAGTGTTTGATACTGGAAATGACAAGGTGCACTAACAGAAAGCCAACAGAAAGTACCATGCTTCAAGAATCTAACACCATGTTTCCAAGTTTTTGTGTATTTGTGCAATATTTCAGTAATAAGTGAATACCAGCATATGTGTAAGTCATTCTAGGGTAGAATGTTTTAAATTACATAAGTAAAATAAGCAAACAGGAAGAAAATTATCAAATTCTCCTTTACCCGTTATTCCATTTAATAGTTTTCATGACTGTATGAAGAGACCATGTAATTAGCCATTCAGCTCGTCTAACAAACTAGTAAATCTTTTATCGTAAAGTCATGGCCTACTGTTCAAGGAAAGCAGTCAAGGACCACTGGAGATAGTTCAGGCTGTGCAAACTTTCACTACGTGTAGGTGCTGGACTGTCATGAAATCCAATTTGTTATCTTAAGTACATTGAAACATCAGAGAAGCATTTGACATGATTTGTACCTAATTTAGAGTGGCTGAAACACAGAACACTGTGATAGGCATCTTCTATTTGAGAGGCAGCAGCTCACAAAATCATAATGTTCATATACAAACTCAGAGAGGTATAGCATGAACTAGATTGAACAGTCTTAGCAGGTACGAGAAAAGGTTTTTCAGAGTTTAAAACAAAAAGCACAACAACTAAGCTAAAAATGAAGACTGAACAGAAATGAGAAAATAATCAGATTAAGAGAGCAGGCAGGCAGCAAGAGAGCTGCACAGAATGGCTAAATTTGAGGAAATAAATACATTGAGACTTCAGAGCTAAGACAGATGTTCTTCAGTACATCTTGCAGCAGTAGATTAAGACAACAACCTTCACTTCTGCCCCAGCCCTCTGCCATGGGTTTAGTGTACTCAGCGAAGTCACCGCATCCCAGCCAGCACAGCTCATATGCCAGCGTACTAGTGTTACGCCTGCCATTCCGGTGTTGAAGTGTGAGGCAGGGAGGCCAGGGCGCTCTCACTCTTTATCATGCTTCCCACTGACAAGTAAGCTACATCAGAGGGGAAAGGTGGACAGCTGGGGACAGTAGTAACTTAAAATCGCAGCAACATTCAAAAGCAAATTTCTGATCACACTCCTTTTTCTAGGAGGAGAAACTGAATCAAAAAAGTTGTCTTTCTCCACTTTGAGAGACGTCTCTTCTAATTGATCAATAACATTGGAGTGTTAGATTGTCAGACAAAACTAATCATTCCATTAAAGCTCCTAACGTTAATCCTACCTACCTCTCATCCTTACATCCTTTTATCTTACCATTCTTTCACCTCACACTTCAGACCCTAAGTTCTCTGCGGATGAACCACCTTGTTATTCAGTTTGTACAATACTTTGGCCAGGGAGATCCTGTGCCAAAACTGGGTTTCTCAAAATTGCAATAGCAAAAATTTTTATCTGTCTAAAACCACACTCCATCATACAAGGACAAAATATTCTGATCCTGGGCATAATCTCATTAGATAAAGAGCTTTGTTCATTGAAAGCCAGGTAATTAAGGGGAAAAAGCACACATCTGAAGAATATTAGCTCTACAAACAGCTGGACACAAGCAGCTGCTGATGTGCAGCTGCACAACATGTTAAGCCTTGGTATTCTACAGATCTGTAACAATTTTTGCTTAAATTGGAAGTGGAGAACCAGATATTAAAAAACCCCATAATTGTCCTCAATAACCTTGAGAGGGTTACCTGTACCAGGTAAAGGCTACTCATACGGAGGCTACTGAAATCAGTGTGAAACAGTTCAGCTTATATACCAAATCTGTATTTCCACAATCAAGGCTACCTTAAAGGACAACTTTATAATAAATCCAAAACTGCTGGCACAGTTCTCTTTCTCAGCCATCCTGGAGAAAAGAAAGGATTTAGTTTGCAGTCAAACTTACAAATATTAGGCGCTGTCTAGCACTGTGCGTCCTTAAAATATTTTTCACTCTTTTATGGATCTCATCTCCATTTGCTGGTGAAGGCCAACCAGAGCTAAACCTGCAAGAGGAAGAGGAAAAACAAACAGAAGAAATATTTTCTTGTTGAAAAGCTCAAAGATGCTTTTGACTCAGATTATTATTTTTTTTTAAATTATGAAGCATGCATCGCTTCCTTCTATTTGGTACATACACAATGTTTAGATTTGATTCTTTTTCTACTCTGGGGTACACACAAAGAAATATTTCAAGACAGTGCACAAATGGTATGCATCCACAATATCAACAAAAGGTGTGAAACATAGAAAATGTTGATGATTTTGTAACTTAAGTAATATTTCCATAATGTTTTTATTGTCCCGACAGAACAGAAAAGCTATACAGTTATTCTATTCCCAGTGATCAGGCTTCGTTTTCCCCTTTTTAAAGGAAGTATCACAGACATGAAATTCTTTTCACTGGAATAAATCAACAGGAAGATAACCCCAATGCGTGCAAATTGGGAAGCCCATGGAGTTAAATTGCAAATTCACAATCTTTATCTCACAAGATGGAACTGCATTTTAAGATGATTTTTTACATTAAAACCCAGGTAGCTTGCTTAATATGAGTGACTTAAAACTAACAGCTACTTTTGGACTTTATCCTTTTATGTTTTGCAGCACATTTTTTTCCACTTTACTAAAAAAACCCCACCAAAAACCCCACCCTCACCCTTCTCAGCAAGTTCAGAAGCTGTCAGAAATTTCATATCAATAGTTGTTCTCAGACTGTTAAGGGAGGCAACTGATATTTTAAGAACAGGATCATTTACACACCAAGCTCCACATGTTAGTATACTCAAAAGCGTATAGAATTATTGGGAAAGAATTATTGGGAAAGGTTATGAAATGTTTACTTACACAGTCTCATCACAGTGGATAGAAACAGGGCACCAAATCAAGATTGTGCATCTTCATTTCAATGTTTCCTAACCTCTGAGAACCTGACTTTGCACCAAGAAAATAAAAAATCACGATGTGGTATCATACTAATACGAATACGGGTCACCAGGCAAGCTGCGAGCTTGCAAGCCATACCACTGCAGTTGGAGCTAATGGAACAACAGCCAAGAGCAGCACTGGGCTGTCATACTCTGGGTGGCTTAGGAGCAAAAGGAACAGCAACATGCTTTGATCGTTGGCTTCACAAATTTGATGCAGTAGAGAAACATCATGACTCTGAACCCTGAGATTCTACAGTGGGCTCTGGATCAGTTTGCAGGACTGGGACTACAAGTCCCTCTGCTCTCTTCTCTCCAATTTATCACATTCCCTGTGTTATCCAGTCTATCACTCCAAAATCCCCAATCTGATCATTCCTGGTTAGTTTACCTTAATTAAACTTCCAGAAATTTCAATACAGCTGAAGAACTGTACAACTCCTTCTGAAAAGAACAAACCAAGTACACATAGAAAGCTTCAGTCCAAAACAAGTAACTTGGCAAAGTTAAAATTAATGGAAGCAGGATCCTGAAAATGGGAAGTGCCAGCCTGACTCAAAGGTTACAGCAGGACTGGGAGCACCTTGCAATCTTTTGGATCATTCCTTCTGTTACCAGAAAGAGACAGAAATACAAGTAGAAAGTGAACAGTTTTCTGCTTTTGAGTAACTTTCTTCCATTTTCTTCAACTTATTTGGACTCACTTATTATTGCTTACCTTTCCAAAAAATCTCTCTCTGTTCTAAACAGCCCAAATATTTTCAGCCTATTTGTGAGTTTCCTTAAATCAAATCGTCTGTTTCTGAGTGCTTCTATTTTTCTTCAAGAAAGGGTGCCAAGAAATGACACAATACTGGAAGGATGAATCATATAATCTAAAGGGGGATTTATTTTCCATATTTCTAATGATGTTTAACATTGTTTACCTTTGGATCATTACAGGAAAGAATTTTCACAAAGGTGACTACAACATTTGTATTAGCATCCTGTACATTTACAACTAATTTTAAACACAACAGCATGTATGGCAAACCCATACTGTTCAATTCTTCTGCATACTACAATCTGTTGCACTAAAAGATCTCATATAACTTTTTCTAAAAGAAAGCAAAATGGTTTGTGAATTTTGTTAGGGGAGGAAAGCATTGCCCTTAAAGAAAGAGAAATCTAAGTCACTTAAGCAGGCAAGAACATTCATTTCCCTAACACAGTCAAACCCAGTTTGATGTACTGCATTACAATGCATGTGCCCTATCATTAGCAGTGTTTTGAAAAAGAAAAAACTTTCTTTCTTTCTTTTTTTTTTTTTTTTTTTTTAAAGAAAAGAGGTAAAGGAAAGGGGCTGGTGTGGTACTATCATCTTATGACTTCCCATCAGCATTTACAAACATTTACTACTATTAAAGAACCTCTGAAATGCATGTTTAAAAATCTGCATCATAGATGCAGTAAGAATGAGTCATTTCCCATTTGACAAATAAAAGAGAGTCCCATGAAGTCATGGCATTTTCTCTTACTTATACAGCAGCTGCTGTTCTTCCAACATTCAGGTTGCTGGCACTGAGAAAAGAAGTTGGAATAGATTGCCTTTGGGAAATAAAATTTACGAAATTCTTATGTAAGATTTCAGATCATTGTTACTAATCTTAAATTTACAAAAATCCTTGGAGATAAATGTATTTACTTTTGGAAAAAAAGAAAACCCAGCTTGCTATTGTATTCATTTAGAAAATACGTGGCTATGACTGCAAGAAGAAGAAGAAGATTTAAGTACTTAATTCAAGAACTATTAAATCTCTTTCTTCAGATGATTTTATTGATCAATCCACTAGTGTGCGCTGTGGTATAAGAAACATTAGCCACTCATACATTCCGCCCCCGCCCCCCCCCCCCCCCCCCCCCGCGACTTAATTTACCAAAAGAAAAGGGGAAAAAACCCAAAACCTTAAGTGTGATTAAAACCAGTACCAGCTTCTTCTTAATTACCTTCTCTAGTATTGTTATTGTCTAAATTTAGTAACAACTATAGAGTCTAATCCACATTTAAAGTCATAATGTTAATATTTACACCAACCAAAACTCAAATTAAAATAAAATCATGCCTGAAATGCAACAACCATAATCTAAAGGGAAACCTTTTTATGATATTCTAACTCTCCTATTAGAAATATTTTATAAAACAGGCTTTACAGCACAACTTGTCAGAGTATAAAGGGATTCCATTTGCCCCAAATCACCAATAACAAGTTTTTAAAATGACTAGCTACTTATTTATGTGATTAAGGTGTCACTATCATATTGCCACATTGAAAGGAAAGTCACTTCATTTCAATGACTGACTGTCCTGATAAACAAAATAAACTTCTACAGCTGTATTCTTTGTCATACTTCCAATTTTCCCTGGGACTTGCAAACATTCTGCAGTTACATCAGTTTAAATTGTTTATTGATTCCAATAGATTGTATAAACACTTTGGAAATATAGCTCAGTGACCTAGAAAAAGCCAGATCAATCAGGGAACTTCTCAAGATTAATTTCAAAGATGTTGTGTCGAGTCCGATCAAGGAAACAGAACCATTTTCCCTTGTAATGTGACTAAAGGCATTTATTTTCTTTTATGAGATAAGGATTTTTTTTTAAGGTCATACAGACAACATCTACCTTGATGAAAAAAAAAAAAAAAAAGAAGCCAAGCAGACAGTCTAGATCTTATGCTAAAGATTGAAGTTATTTTCATGTATAATTTTATCCATTAGGGTGAAATACTCCACTAGAAATACAAACGGGATACATCCACCCATTTAGTCTAGTCAAACAGCAGCTCGCAAACTTGAGAGCTGTAATAAATAGGAATTTCCAAATGTCGGGCAATCCAATCATCCACTTGCATAGCAAAAATGTTAATATCACATTTCAGCAGGAACTACTAATACATATTGTATCAGTAGAATTAATGCAAAAGCCTACTGCAGAATATTTGCAATTCCTATTGTGACCCCTTCCCCACTATCACACCTTGTGAACAACTCAGTGCATGTGGCCTCCATGAAGAATTCATCAGCTTCAAAGACACAGACTTCACGCTGAGCAAATCCACATACAAGGACAAACTATCAGAGGACAGAAATCAATGAAGTCCATAGACCAGATTAACAATTGGAGAGAATGCTACTGTAATTGAGTGGGGAAGAGGGAGAAAGAACTCTTAAAGTGAAGTATAACCTAAAAAACCCCACAATCTGCATGAACTTATACATGCAACAAGAGAGACCCTCAAGAAAAACAAAAATATTTAATTCTGAAATAGGAAAAAAAACCTCACAGATTTTATATCCAAGTAGGCACTTATGCAGCATTCACAATAAGTGAAGAAGTTGCTTTATTCTCATTTAAGAGGACATGAAGTTGTAATTCAGTACGATGAACTTGGTTCTCAGTGTATACTGGTCTGTGTGGAGGCATAATAGAAAGGCTGGACTACACCTAAGAGTTTTACTGATCTACTTAGTAAAGGATGCAATTTTGTTTTGCTTTTCCTTAAAACAACTGATGGCTATGAACCTTAGCATAGTACATGCAGTGCAAAAGTGTTTTAGAGACTACAATGGTACATACCAGTTCCTGAATTGTAACAAGAATAGACCAACACAAAAATCCTTACATTTTCACAATATTTGAAGTGGAGGAAGTAGACTGCTTTCACAATGCCAGGATACTACTATGAAGAGGAAACAATTGCACACAGATAAGGCCTTAAATCAAAGCACAGAAGCCCAAAAATTCAGAAGCAGAAGCTGACAGCTTAGCAATATACCGATTTGCTCTCCCTCTCCAGTAAGAAATTAAAAAAAAAAGTAAAAATTTCTCATCCTTTCTATACAGTTTTTCTTACTTTCAAAAGCTCTGTTTACAGTTAGCTTTGAAGCACTAAAAATACATTATTTCTGAATTTTCAAATTAGTAAATACTTCTTCCTCCTAAGTTTCTTATCTAGCCCTTAAAATCGTGGCAAGATATATCATCCTCATGTAAAAAGTGAAACTTAAGTGGCAGACAGCTTCCAAGATTTCAAGGAAGGGCAATACTCCAGTTGAGCCATTGCCACAAAATGGTTGAAATCATTCTGGTACTAAATCATTAGTATGCCATAAATGGGCTGTACCTTCTTATTCTCTTTGGAAGCTTTTCCTTTACCTTTTATGTTCTCTGAATTTATTAATTTACACACAAAACAGCTTTGACAGCAATCGATTTCAAATTTACTTACCGCTACAGGAAAATCAACCAATGAAGATGACAAATAGTACAGATGTTGGTCAAAAATATGAAACAGGGCTTAGGTACTTCTTGGGTTTGCAGAATATCGTATGAAATAACTGATCTTCAAGTGCTGATTCCAGAAGTTAACTTAAAGAATGCAAAATAAGTAAACACCCCCAAAAGGTGAGACTGATAAACCCAAACAATTCAAGAACAACCTTACTACCAAACTAAATTTAAAAAAAATCAGAAATAATTACTTTTAAATGGCTAGGAATAGACAGGAAGCCTAGTTGTAGCCTCTCCCTACAGCAAGGTTTTTTTTAAAAAAAGTCTGCTAAAATTTTCAGCATTCCACTTCGCAGTAGAAAGTTCTCAGAACTTAAACATACACCCTCACAGAAGTAAACCCTGTCTTCGGATGCATGCCACTCTCTAAAATATTAGGTGAACTACCTGCGTCTGGATTATGCTGTGCAACAAAACTAGTACCCAAGATCCTAGGGTGACAAATTTCAAGATCACTGAAGATAAAGCTTCTGATAACTGGAATTTTCAAGGACTTCATGTAGGATCTAGTATTTCATTAGTACCTAACTGTTAGTACCTATCATTATATCTATCATTAGTAGTATCTAACTTTATGTTGGTATTTCCCTAATACTTGGAAAAAGATAATATAAAAAGATGGTAGTAAAACAATAGAGGAATATTACAGAAGGGCATCTGATCCAGACAGTTAACCTCTGTCTTACTTCAAACAGAACTTAGGGTTTTGTTAAAATTTACAGTAGGTAAGATCACATAGCAGCAGTATAACCAGGAGAACATAAAAAAAAGACATTAAGCTGCACTTCACTCTGGAAACAAAAGCAAAAGCCTGCCATTTCCATGGTAGGAAAAAAGAATCCTTTGATCCCAAATGCATGAGAAGTAGCTTTGCCTCTCAACATAACAGAAATGGTCAAATATTCCTGATCGCTGTAGTCTCTTGAGAAAAGGATTTCTCTTGTGCCAGCACATAGCTCCATTCAGAGTACTTGTGTTATTACCTTACAGAATCCATCTCACTATTTCTCCTTTCCCTTACAAAAGATACTTTACTGCAGGTTTCAGCACTGCAAGGAAGGCTTAGCTTGTAAGTCCGCAAGAAAAACACCATCTTCTAGGAGTGCAGGAGGATGTATATGCACCATGAAAGCAAGGACTGGACTTGAATTTTGCTTTCCTGCAGCAGCACTGAGAGAATATAGTGCTAATATTCTTTCACAGAGCATACAGGATACTTATCTACGCAGAAAAGGATATTTACCTATGCATAAACAACCAGACTGGGGGAGGCAAGTCAACTGTATTGACACACTGCTGGCCACACATCATGGGCAGGAGCTATAGAATGTGTATGTACCATTGGTCTGCACAGGAGCTAGAATCAAAATGCGAAGAGGCGTTATATGGCCACATCACTCTGCTGAGCATCAGTTTGCAACGTTACTAGCAAATGCTTTCCTTAGGTGACCAAAATAATAAAAAATTTAAAAATAAAGTATGAAAAATAAATATTCAAAACTTTGCTGCCTTGTTCAACACTAAATCTATTTACACTTCTGCTTCTGGATCAAACCCAGTGGAAAAGGGGAGAGGATTGAATTGTGGTCTCTCTAGCAGGCTCACAGAAACGGACTGGAAACTGCTAGAAAGGATACAAAAGGGCTCAGAGGACCTTATACAAGACCCCAGTTTCTGTATCACTGAAAAGTATTGCAGTGATTTAACTACTCAGCAGGACTCTGGGAAGTACTCCCAAGAAGGCAGACATTCACTTCACTTTTTTTTTTTTTTTTAAAAGGGAAAAAAGGGAACTAAAGGTCGAGATGGGGAGTCAAGTTTCATATTGACTATGGATTGACTAGCATTAAAAAAAATAGCCTGGATGTGTTAAGCTCTTCGTCTTTGTAATTCAAAATAAAATTGAGGAAATAAATACCAAATACTGTGAGATAATACTCTATATTCTTGCAAATACACTAACACTGGTATATTTTCAGTAGTACTGATTTTCTCTGTACTTCTGTGATCTGAACAACAGCGTTTGCATGCATTTCTAAACGTTGACCTCTGATCCATGTTTGTCATTCCAAGTATAGCTCTCAGTAAACAGCCAGCTAAAATCATTGTTGTCTCAGCAGCATGAAATAGAGATAAAATTTTTTAGACTATGCCCTTTACCTTCTCATTTTGAATTTTTTGATGACAAAAATAAATGCTTACATCTTTAACATAAAGAGATGTTATATCTCTAAAGAGCTGAGAACATTTGTTCTAATAAGAAGAAAAACATAATTTTCACAAGATCACAAATCTCGTCTGGAGAGGGGCTCATAAAGAGAAAAAGTAAGAATGTTCAGACAAGTTCAAGATTAACTGTCAGATGACTAAATTACTAAGCATGTAACAGCAGCTCACAACATACAAGACTTCCCCGCTATCAACATACGGGGCCCTGTCAGCTTTAAATAAAATGCATTTTAAAATTTAACACCCTCCCCAAAAGGAGTCCAGCTGAAAAAAAAAGGATTAAAAAGTCACCATTACAATATCTCTTCCCCAGACACAGGTAACTAATGCACAAACTTGTCAGAAGAGAGTGGGAAGGTAGACAAGATGACAAAGAAGCCTCCTGCAAACCCCAGGTACACCCTAATCTCTGTATAATAGGTCTCAAGAAATACTATTACACAGAACAACAAACAAGCAAGTTTTCAAGCAGAGGAAGATGTTAAAACACCAACTTGATCTTTATGAGTATTAAAAATTCAATCCCCACCTGCCATCTGTCATTTTTCTTTTTAAAGAGAAAAACCTGAGACAATTTTTCTATTTTGAAAAAAAGTGTTAGGCTGTGTGTAGGCTATAAAATGCACCCTGTGAGCATTGACTAACTGAGGCACCAATGGTAACAAAGATGAAACAGCCTGGAACGAGTGTGAACTAGCCACTAAAGTACATCTCCAAGTAGGGCCTCCATAAACACTTCAACATTTAGGACAGGACATCAGTTTCAGCCTCAGCTTCTCCCAATTATTTGATGTATTTGCTTATTCAGGCCCAGCTTTGTATATAGTTTTTCTACTCCCAGAAAGCCATGTAGCAACTTACTAAACTGAATGTACAGTAGAAGCACTGCACACCAAGCACACATCTACTCAGCAGGAGGTAGGGAATACTCTCCTTGAAGGACTGAAGCACGAAAAAAATTGTTGCTTTTTGACATTTCTTTCATCCCACCCTCATAAGACACTGAAGCTGTGAAGCTTGCCCAAATTATCAACCCAGGGATTGAAATCCACGGAACTGAGGGATATTAGAAACTGTCTCCACCCCAACCCCATTGGGGTCAGTGGAGACTACTAAGAAAACTAATTGCAATATAGCAATTAATATACACACAATTGCGGCAGAGGTCCACACTTCAACTCAAACAAAACAAAACTTTAGGATGCCAATAAAGCAGAAAGATTGGAAAATAACACACTAACTAGATTAAAGCTAGCCCAAGCACGTTGTGCACACTAGCCACGCACCTGACTATAGCATAACCACAAGTAGTACTTACAAACACTAGTCAGAAGTCAGAAGGAAAAAAGGTTTCCAAGTACCTCCTGTAAAGCCTACTTGACACGTATCTATATTTACATTCCTGAGATTCTACCTGCCTCTGAAGCAGTGATTATTTATTTAAGTATTCTGTGTTTTAGATGGACATTGGCAGCCTGAAGTTTGGGGCTTCACTGTTTCAGAGAAGGTTAGCAACAGAGATGTCAAAGATCCTTTTCACTGCCATATTATTAGGATTGTATTCATTAAGCAGAGAGGTGATGGCAGCCTGCACACCTCCAAATATGCAAACGATAGTCATGCAAGTACTGTTACCATCTGCTTATGTTAGTAATTCCAGAATTTCACAAACAAAACCAAGTCATTACCTTTCCCTTAGAGAAGATCGATTTAGCACAGAACTTAGAGAATGCTTCTGAAATGCTGGAGGTGCCGAATGCTCTAATGAACCAGAAGAATGGAATTGTCTGTTGGGTGGATCTGAGATCACATCCTCATTGCAAACAACAGAACTGTCAAAGTCTTTTCCATGAGTAGATTTTGCCTGCAAAAAAAACCCACCAAACCGTGCTAAAACTTATTATGAATATCAAGATGTACAGTTTTCATGTTTTTATTTTTCAAACCGAAAGGTTAAAGGTTGCACATACATGCAGGAATATCTGCCTGCTGGGGAAAGAACTAAATTAAACCAACAAGTGTGAGAGGACTTTGTTGGTATCTAAAACATCATCTTACGGCAAAGTCTACTGTAACAGCCCTTTTATCACTTTTTCTGACTGCACAGTTTAAAGGCTTACCTTTCCCAGGGATCTCACAAATTCAGAATGATTCCTGAGAGTCTAAACAACACAGACCTTAGACTTCTCCTCAGTCTGGGACCCCTTGTTCTTAAACTATTTTTTCGTCTCATGATTTGCTGTTCCTTATGGGAAAACTCTGGCCCATCTACTCATAGTCTACTCACTCTTCACTGTACTAGTTACTCCTTTCATAGTTCCTCTTAACCTGAAACATACCACTAAAATGTCTCCATGGGTCACCCTCATTACCTGGCATGGGACTTTTACAGGAGCCCTTTCCCAAAGATGAGGAAAAAAACTAAACCCAAAACGCACAGCAAAACCAGACGAACAATAATCAGGCTATTCATTAGTTCTTGCCAGGCTGTAGGGGTTTTTTTTCCTCAGCTTTGGGAAACAGCTCCTCTTAAACAAAGCTATATTTTATTTCCAGCATGAAAAAGACACATTATCTTCATTCCTGATTTCATGAAAATCTAGCGGCATCAGAACATGGTGAATTAACGCTCAGCTATCTGTGTTCTCCAATGACTGCTCTTAAAATCTACTTTCCCACTGCAGGGTGGGCAGATGGATGGGGGAGACAACATAGCCTTAAAATAACCATCCTTTAGTAAAAAAAATAAACAACACTCAAAAAAGACATATTTAGCATATTTAGTAGAAACTCTCTATTTTCTTTACAGTTTCTCTTTTATAGCCATGTAACAACCCAGAAGTGGCACAATATATTAGATTCACATGGTATGCGAAACTGCAATCCTTGGTAATAAAGGTTTAGAATCTGACAAAAGTGCACTTAATATAGATCAAGGTTTACCCTTATAATTCCCCTTCTTTCCTTCTCCCTGTTTATCACCAGTTTGCCCACCCATTAGGAAATCTAAGAGGCCATGTGTAATTAAATGGCTAAACCCAATATTCCTACAGTACTTCAGAAACACAGGTAAAAACAACTAAATGAGGATAGGAAAAATAAAAAACACCAAAACCCAAAGGAACCTTGACACTAATCTTCAGATCCATTTCACAGACAAAGCAGCTAAAATCTGAAAAAGGAAGGATGTGAAATAACA